AAAATATTTCAAATAAAATAAAAAATTTTGTTATCATATGAGTAGTAAATATTTTAAAAGCATAATAATATAAAACTATATTAATTGGTTATGATGAAATTAGATACCTTAATACCTCATATTTGAGATGAGGCTATTGTCGCATCTTCAATTTACATTATTTGTTTTTAACAAATTAAATAGTATAATAATCAATTAAAATAAAAATATATGACATTAAAAATTAAAAATGTGATAATAACATTACACCATCTTTTGGTTAGATTTGGTTTTAACTTGTTATTCTTTTAGTTATTTTTAATTAAAGTTTTTTATTTGTTCAATTAAAACATATAAAATAAATCTTATCATTAGACATAGAAATTAAAATTACAATCAAAATCAAATTCACCATCATCGTTACTTCATATAAAATTGTAGTTCCTTGAACACCCTCTCTCATAAATATGAAACCTAAATCTGATGAACCCATAATTGAAACACAAGGGAGATGACTATGGCGGTCATGGAGTGAAGAAGATGAGACATATAGGAGATCGAAGAATATAAAAGCAAAGATCTAGGAGCTTGTGATGATATGAGAATGGAAGAAATGAGGGTAGGTAGAAAGGCTATTCAAGCAATCCAAACAAATCCAAGAATTTACCTTTCCTTGTAAAGCAAATAACCAAACCCAAAATATATGGAAACCTTATTCCATCGAAAGCCATCGATATGAGAAAATTTTACTTAATTAAATATTAGTTGCATACAATTTCATCTTATTCTCCTATTAAATACCTGTTGTTCCTTGAAAACTTTCCTCCATTTCCACATCATGTCATTGTTGTACCTCAGTCACAAGATCAAATAAAATAATAATTAGTGAACTTAATAAGAAATATTGATAAGAAAATATCATCTAAATAGGTGTGAAAAACTTATTTACTTTAAGGTGATTCATGCCTCTATGGAGAGTAGATCAACCGGTGTAGTAGAGATACATAAAGTATGTCGCCTCCAGGATATTACAGCTTTATAATAATACCCTATGGATCTGCACTACTTATAGAGTCACCTTACTCAAAACACCCTTCTTTACCCAAAAATATTTAGAAAATAAAGCGAAGTAAGAAATAATAGAGGAATGTGTAGAAAAACCCATTTTTGAGCAGGCAGAACCCTCAAATCCACCCCTCAAAAAAAAATAAAGGGACAAATTGCCCCTTTAAATCATAAATCAATACAAATCACCTCTTTTTTAACGTTTTCCATTAAAAAATGTTGACGTGGCAAATAGAATTTTGACATTTTTTGTTATTAAAAAATGCTGACGTGGCAAATAGAATTTTGACGTTTTTCGTTAGAAAAGAGGTGATTTGTATTGATTTATGATTTGGAGGGACAATTTGTCCTTTCATTTTTTTGAGAGGTGGATGTGTCCCTACCGATATTTTTTAAGGGTGGATTTGAGGATTTTGCCTTTTTGAGCAAAAGACATGTCTTATTTATGAGACTCATGGTCTTGTAACTCTCATTTATAGGTTAATGGTAGGAATAAATTAGGCAATTATTATGAAATAATGTGCCCTTAAATAAGACAATTAACCTCCAACGGCTAGTTTGATTAAGTCCTTAATGGGACAATAAATTTAATTTATAAAATATATTATTTTATTTTTTATTAAAATATTTAAGTTCCAACAATTCCCCCACTATTTTAATAAAAAATAAACCTTTCTTTGGGCAAAGATAGATTATTATGCATAATAAAGGTAGCTAAGCCTTGAACCTTTACTTAATGAGTCAACAATTCTTAATCCAAAATCAATAGTGAATTAAGTCTTGAACTATGACCCAATTGAAAGATACAAAAATTGTATCACACACATAATGATTCGAATGTTGAGTTTTTTTCACACAGCTGGCGCATTATGGCCTTGCGCATGATCCCGATTTTCATGAGTGATCTAGAAAATTGCCCATCCAATTTTCATAGAAACGGCCTTACTTCGACACCCACATAAGTGAAATTTGTCAAAAGTGCTCCTATAATTAAGACACCCCACTCTATGAGCTACAAATTTCATTAAGAATATAAAACTCAACCCTCAATTCGTTATTGGATAGATGCATCCTCACCTTAGGAATAAGACTGAAAAAATTTTTTTCGTTAAATATTGATGCATCTTTCAACAATGACTTCTCTATGATTCGTTTTTCCCATTCGAAACCCAATTTTTAGAATTCGAGTTGGGTATCCTCGTAGGAAGTTTTACATTATTGGGCTTGAATCCCATTCTCCTCGATGAGCACTAGACCTTGGACTATGATCATAGATTTCCCTCCAACTTTTGTTTTTGCCAAAAGCCTAGTTAGTGGTATAGTGGGTTAAAAGAGATTCAACTCATTCTTTTTCTCACTTTTTCACATCAACCCACATGTCTACTAACTCATAAAACTCACATTCATTTTTCTCAAATTTTCAATTCATGTTACCACTATTTTTTTTTTTTATATCAAATTGAGCTAGTGAACCACCATTTTCTTTCCATACATGCCAAAACATGTATTTAAGAATTTTTAACTCAAACACCATTGTACCTTGTTGTACAATAGGAATGTCCATCACATACCCCTTTTCTCAAGTGCCTTATTATTTTGTCATCATACACCATTATACCATAATTGTATAATAGGAATGCATATCACATTTATTTTGTTAAGCACCATTATACCTTATTGTATAATAGGAGTGCATATCATATTTGCTTTCTTAAGCACCATTACACCTTATTGTATAATAGGAATACTATGCAAAATCTCAATTAGGCATCATTGGTCTCATCACCAATAATAATATATAGGGATATCACAATCCCCCACATTGGGAGCATCTCAAATATGTGATTATCACATTTCTCAAATAATTGAGTTCATGAAGAAACCCATTTTGCTCACAAGATTTTTATAAGAGCATATTGGCTCATCTCACTTTTTATCGCCATAAATGGCTCCTCGGTTATGCAAGCTTAAAAATTTAGCTTACATTTCTGGAATAAACTGACCCAAATTTCATGTCCATCTTTTACCAAAAAAAGTTGGATGGACCAAATCGGGTGGCTCTTTGATTTTCAAAATTTTCACTTGTTTCACCAAATAACTCGATAACATAGTCAATTAAATACACATATTTATTCACCTTTTTTTTTTCACTGAAAAACAATAATCACCAATTAATTATATATCAATAGAGCATATTAAAGCTCATAAATTACACAATAAAAAGCACTTCCAATTAGTAGAGCTTTTATATCCATAATTTTATGTTAAAATATATGCTCTATTGATGATCTCATTTAATTCAAACGGCTACCATCATAATACTCAATATTATGGGAAAACTACCACATTAATATGCATGCATTTATCAATTAATATAACATTAATGCTAACCATAAGGTCCATAACCATTCATATAAATATGATTAAGTAATAAATCACCATTGCATATAAATCAATAATCATCATGACAAATAAATTGCCTATGAATGGTCACGTATGTCTTTAAGCCAAATTAATCACATATATATATATATATATATATATGAATGCATGTATAGGAGACGTTAAATTGCATGTAGAATGCATTAACATTTTTTTTTTAGCCGTTGAGTATTTGTTATACCATGCAAGAAGTATGACATTAATCACTATCATCAACTAGCAACATAAACCTTATAGATTGCTAGACATGCTTGCATGTATTTTCAGCAAAACTAAAGAATTCGATTCGTACTTGCTTGGAGCATATATATTCCAAAAAATCAAAATTTTTATTTTGCTTACACAAAGTAGCACATGTTTCAATTTTGTTTTCCATGTTGAATTGCCTTAAAATTGTTGTTCTCGAACACTCTCCTCCATCTCCACATCATGTCATTGTTGTGCCTCGGTTACAAGATCAAATAAAATAATAGTTAGTGAACTTATCAAGAAATATTGATAAGAAAATATCATCTAAATAAGCGTGAAAAGCTTACTTACTTTAAGGCAATTCATGCCTCTGCGAAGAGTAGATCAACCGGTGCAGCAGAGATACATAAAGCATGTCACCCCTAGGATACTATAGCTTTATAATAACACTCTATGGATCTGCACTACCCATAGAGTCACCTTACTCAAAACATCCTTCTTTACCCAAAAATATTTAGAAAATAAAGTGAGGTAAGAAAGAATAGAGGAATGTGTAGAAAAAACATTTTTTAGCAAAAGACATGTCCTATTTATAAGACTTATGGTCTTGTAACTCCCATTTGTAAGTTAATGATAGGAATAAATTGGGCAATTATTATAAAATAATGTGCCCTTAAATAAGACAATTAACCTCCAACGACTAGTTTGATTAAGTCCTTAATGGGACAATAAATTCAATTTATAAAATATATTATTTTATTTTTTATTAAAATATTTAAGTTCCAACATCATCACTAGTCAAAGCCATTTTCTATGCAAATGTAGCTGTGGGAAGCAATGTCATAAAATAGTCATAGTTATCAATGCTTTGAGACACTCCATTGTTGATTGTTGATTCCAACACATTACAAGGGTTGCAGATGGAGTTGCTCAGTCGATTATAAAAAAAAAAAAGAGTTGCTCATTGGATTGCGTCAACAAATCATAAGAGGATGTCAATTGTCTCTTGGATTTCCAGATAGGGGTGAGCATTGTTATGTCACACAATGCCAACTACATTATAATGTTATGCGGTGAGCTAGTGACAGGGCATAATGATAAGTACATTGATTATCAGTGATGATTACTAATTATTAATTTATATTGGCACAATAATGACAAGACATACCCATTAACAGCCACGTATATATATATATATATAGAGTCCAAAACCCTTATTTACAAAACCCTTATTTACACCATTCATTTATATTATTTTCGCAATCATCATCTTCCAATATTTTTCCTTTTTATTCACACTTTTTACTTTTCATAACTAATGAAAAACTCAATATAATTGTCACGATACCATTAAAAAATACATTACGTGACACTTAAAATTTGACGTGACACTATATGATATTAATAATTCAATGTGAATCCCTTTCTTATGATGTGACTTATTTTCTGCATGGACACCACGTGTACAGTAGGATCCATTGCACGTGGGACATCAGATCTATATGCCTTTAAATTTTTTTTCTTAACTAACTATTCTTTTAGATCATTGTGAGCTACAGGATGCCGGCCCTTGCATGCTGCGTAGATGCTACGCCTCCTGGCTACGCGGCCTTCTTTGCCGAGGAAGGTTCCCATGCCTCGTCGATTCCTTTCTCTTCCACAACCACCACCGCCACCATTGCGGCTGCCATTGAGAACTCAAACCCATTAGCCACCCTCTGGACGCCCCTTCTCTCCACCGCCCTTTACTGCATCGATGCTTGGGGCCAGCCTTACTTTGGCGTCAATCCCTCTGGCAACATCTCTGTTCGCCCTTACGGCTCGAGAACTCATCCTTGTTGGAGTTAATCCCGATTTTGAAGCTAATTGTTTTGAATGAGTCTTAGTTAATGGAGTTTATGTGCCCTACTATTGTGGTTGCTGATAGCCACGTTTCCTTATCTTTAAGTTTCAGTTTGTAGTGGCTAGAAAATAGGAGTTTATGCTTTATTAGCCTATTATAAATAGGCAGTTGTTATTCAGTTTAATGGAGAGGAGAACATAGAGCAGACTAAGGTGGAGAAAATCTTCCAGACACTTACACCAAAATTTGAGCACATTGTGGCAGCAATAGAAGAAGCCCACGATTTGTCCCAAATGATTGTTGAAGAGTTGTCAGGCTCATTAGAAGCACATGAGCAGAGAATGAATGAGAAACGGACAGAGAAGCCGATTGAGCAAGCCTTCCAAAGCCAAG